GCCCACAGCCCAGCCGTCTCCCGGGGCAAGATGGCGGCGGGCGGGGACCGGCGGCGCGCGGGACGGGGCTGCGCCGGCTCAGCCAATGGGAAAGGCGGGGAGGCGGGGCCGGCGGCCGAGCCGGAGGACATCGAACCGGCGCCACGCGCGTTCTCCGCGCGCGGCGGAGCGCCGAGCGATGGATCCTTTCCCGCGCTTGGAGGGCACCGCCCCCCGGCGGGCACCGCCCCTCTCCGCTGATTGGTGGAGGGGCGCGCGAGGGGCTGTCTGTCTCGCGCCTCAGGTGGCCGCCGGCTCTGACAAGAGCCGCTTCGCTCTGCAAATCATAGAGTGATAGAGTGGTCTGGGTGGGAAGGGACCTTAAAGGTCATGGAGCTCCCACCCCCTGCCCTGGGCAGGGACATTTCCCACCACACCACGTTGCTCCAAGCCCCCTCCAACCTGGCCTTCAACCCCTCCAGGGATGGGGCAGCCACAGCTTCTCGGGGCAACCTGGGCCAGGCTCTCACCACCCTCCCACCAAAGAACTTCTTCCCCACATCTCAGCTCCATCTCCCCTCTTTCAGGGTCAAACCCTTCCCCTCCTCCTAGGGCTCCCCTCCCTCATCCAGAGTCCCTCCCCAGCTTTCCTGGAGCCCCTTGAGGGACTGGAAGGGGCTCCAAGGTCTCCCCGGAGCCTTCTCTTCTCCAGGCTGAACCCCCCCAACTCTCTCAGCCTGTCCTCCCAGCAGAGGGGCTCCAGCCCTCCCAGCATCTCCATGGCCTCCTCTGGCCCCGCTCCAACAGGTCCATGTCCTTCTGCTGTTGGTGGCCCCAGAGCTGGAAGCATCACGGATTCGCGGATTTGACAGAGTTGGAAGGGTCCTCTAGACATCATCTAGTGCAACTCCCCTGCTAGCAGGATTGGCCAGAGCACATCACTCAGGACTGCATCAAGGCAGGTCTTGAAAATCTGTAGAGAAGGGGACTCCACGACCTCTCTGGACAGTGCTCTGTCACCCTCACCGTAAAGAAGTTCTTCCTCATATTTGATTGGAACTTCCCATGTTCCACCTTATGTCCATTGCCCTTCGTCCTATCGCTGGAAACCACTGAAAAGAGTCTGGCTCCATCATCCTTCAACCCACCCTTTAGGAACCTGTAAACATAGATGAGGTCTCCCCTCAGTCTTCTCAAGGCTAAAGACCCCCAGCTCTTTGAGCCTTTCCTCATAAGGGAGGTGCTCTAATCCCTTAATCATCTTGGTTGCCCTACGTTGGACTCTCTCCAGTAGTTCCCTGTCCCTCTTGAACTGGGGAGCCCAGAACTGGACACAGTATTCCAGTTGTGGCCTCACCAGTGCAGAGCAGAGGGGGAGAATGACCTCCCTCGACCTGCTGGCCACACTTCTCCTTATGCAGCGCAGGATTCCACTGGCCCTTTTGGCAACAAGGGCACGTTGCTGGCTCATGGAGATCCACTGGAGCACTGGGGGGGGTCTCCCCAGAGCGGAGCAGAGGGGCAGAATCCCCCCCTGGCCCTGCTGGCCACGCTGCTGGGGGTACAGCCCAGGATGGGGTTGGCTTTCTGGGCTACCAGCACATGTTGCTGGTTCTTGTTGAGCTTCTCATCCACCAACACCCCCAAGCCCTTCTCTGGGTTGCTCTCCATCCATTCTCCACCCAGAATCATATTTATCTTACCAGATCTTATTTACTGCTTTCAGTCCAGAAAAACGTTTCAAATTCTTAAAAAGCCCTAAAGAAATAAAGAGAATTCATTGGAAACTCAGGACACGGTTGAAACAGAGGTAGCTTTAATGCTGCTTCAGACTGAGGAATTTAAACTGAAGTTAAAAACATACAGAGCATGATTCCTGTTCATCAACTTGAAAGTACAGTCTTCTTAAAACCCGTGTAAACAACATGCAGCATCTCGACAGGGTCTTCCGAGCGGTTTTGCTGGTACTCGGTCACCAACTGCTTCTGATGCTTCATCTCACCAGTTTTATTATCGTTACCAAGTCCTTCATTTGATTCGTTGCTAACGAAACCAGAGAAGTAAAAGGAACTCGAACGTCTCTTCTGCGTCTGAGGAAACCCTGACAAAATTCATTGAGCGGTTTGTGATTCATCTCACAACAAAAATTACGATGATCATGGAATTGATTCTGTGCTTTTCGTGCTGCTTCCCAATCTTCTGACTTCAGACAATTACATGGGTGGCCACTGGGCCATCCACAAGATTAATTTATGTACCTTAAAAATAAGCTTACTCTAAAGGAAAATAAGCATAGAACAGCATATCAAATTTAAAAATAACTGAAACGGTCACACAAAAATTTTGTTCAAATGGTGCAAGAAATGAAGAGAAGGAGCAGTTTATATAGAAAAATATTTTTTAAATCTTTGGTAACAATGAATTTTTCAGATTTTTACAGTACTTGTAATGTAAAAATAGTCTTCTATTATTCATGTAAGTATATTTTATAATTTATTTCATAGTATACTTTATTAACAAAACTTACATAAAAGCAGAAAATAAAAAGAAAGGTATGGAGAAAATGTCTTATCTGAAGGTATCTGAACTGGGTTCTAAAACCAGTTTCTTAATGAGTGTATCTCGTTACTCTTCTCACATAATCCCAAATTTCCCAGATAAGAAGTTTGTTTTTCCTTGGGATGTCGTGTTCTTTCCGTCACTTGACTTTGAAGGTACGTCCATGGTCATATATCGAATTTGAAACCCACCAGCCGTCACTGAGGCATCTGACAAAAACTTCAAGGTCATAACATTGCCTGGGACAAGAAAAAATAAAACCAACGTTAGGTTTTTGGGTGGCGTGTTTCAGAGTTATATTTTAAAGAGCTTTTTCTTGTTTGCTTCTGAGATTTTTGGAGCAATTCACTTGGTCTGTCTACTTCTGAGCCTTGGCCGGGGAGGATTCCAGTTCCATTAGCCCCAGGAAAAACCAGGCAGATTTTTGTAAGTTTTCTTTCTTTCCAGAGCCCAGATGTTGGTAAAGTTTTTCCGTATCCAGTGCTTTCTGCAAAATGTTATTTAAAATGCTGCTCTGCTTCACTCTGCCCAGGGAAATGTCACGCTCCAGGTGTGAGACGCATCCTGGCGCATCACTCCCCCACTGGTGTCATCTGCTCCTCTCCACCAGTTTACTGGGGAGACTGGGAGGTCAGGGAGGGCACGATTCATCTTTTCTGTTCTTTTTCTGCTGATTCTGGCTGTGGCTGGAGCGTGGTAATGTGAGTTTCTGCACAGGCTGTCCCAGGGAATGTGGCTACTTCCCCGCACGGGCAGCTCGTGTCACATCTGGGCTACAGTGACTTTGTGACACTTGAGCAAAAAAGAGGTAAAAGTACCTTTGATTTACATGTCACCAGACCTCGACCTACTGTTTAACACAGAATAACTGGCTTTGGAATTCTTCTTGCCATCCTTGCTCTGGAAATGGGGAAAATTGGAGCATGAAGATGGTGTGCATAGGTAGGGCTTGGTTCCTGATGACAGACCTGCTGTGTGAAAAATCCTTACCGTGCGTAGATGTACTACCTCTGGAAGGCCACCAGGATGCACCCTGGTTACCTTCTAACTAGCCTTTTTCTCTTTTATCTTTATTTATTATTTCCCCTCCTCTCTGAGGAGACCTTATAGCCCCTTCCAGTCCCTCAAGGGGCTCCAGGAGAGATGGGGAGGGACTCTGGATGAGGGAGGGGAGCCCTAGGAGGAGGGGGAAGGGTTTGACCCTGAAAGAGGGGAGATGGAGCTGAGATGTGGGGAAGAAGTTCTTTGGGGTGAGGGTGGTGAGAGCCTGGCCCAGGTTGCCCCGAGAAGCTGTGGCTGCCCCATCCCTGGAGGGGTTGAAGGGCAGGTTGGAGGGGGCTTGGAGCAACCTGGTGTGGTGGGAGGTGTCCCTGCCCAGGGCAGGGGGTGGCACTGGGTGGTCTTTAAGGTCCCTTCCCACCCAAACCATTCTATGATTCAATGATTTAGAAGTAATTGCATTGATGAAAGGGCACGCTGGCAGTAATGATTTAGAAGCAATTGCATTGATGAAAGGGCACGCTGGCAGTTCCGAATAGCAGTTTACGACATGAAGCAGAGTTTGTGTCTTTGAGCATCATCCCTTCCAACCTAGACAACTCTATGATTGTATATATTATTAGAAAGTAGTGACAAAAGGTGATTCGGGCTGATTTATTTTTTTTTTTAACCATAAAGAGTACAAATATATTACCTGTGCTAATGATGTCGTCTGGCAACTCATCTCCACAAAACCTGGGAAAAAATACAAATAGTCATGACTAAACAACCCAGCAAACAGATTATACAGGGAGCTGCTCTGAGCAGCGGCTCACGGGGCTGAACTGGTTATAGGTATTCATTATAGGTATTCAGTGTATGTGATTCTCTGCCATATGTTAAAGCAACTGCCTAAGGAATTTTTTTCATTCTCTTACAGTAAGGTTTAGGGGAGGGAAAAATGCAGGAAACATTTTCCGATATATGCAGGAAGTAAATGATGCAAAACAAGAAAAAGAGCAATTTAACGAGGCGCTGCAGAAAAAAACAATGGCCCAAGGCTAAGAAAGGAAGAACATTGTCAAATTTATCTGTAAAGGCAAAACAAACGGCCTCTATCTTTGCTCTGCTACACATGATTTGTAGAGAGGATGTGAAAAGCGGCAGGAATTGGGAAGTGGTTTTTATCACTTTTTCTGCTTTACTTTTTGCTCTGGAAAATTGAGGTGCTTCGTACCAAAATATGACTGCTCAAGGACAAGCAAAAGGGTGGCATTGAAGAGAAGAAAGTGAGAATTAAGCCAAGAGGGAAACTAAGTGTAGTAAGAGAGAAGATATACAGCACTTGTTTTGTTCTGTTTTGTTAGAAAATGTTATACTAAATGGTCATGACTAAACGACCCAGCAAATAGATTATACAGGGAGCTGCTCTGAGCAGCGGCTCACGGGCCTGAACTGGTTATAGGTATTCATTATAGGTATTCAGTGTATGTGATTCTCTGCCATATGTTAAAGCAACTGCCTAAGGAATTTTTTTCATTCTCTTACAGTAAGGTTTAGGGGAGGGAAAAATGCAGGAAACATTTTCCGATATATGCAGGAAGTAAATGATGCAAAACAAGAAAAAGAGCAATTTAACGAGGCGCTGCAGAAAAAAACAATGGCCCAAGGCTAAGAAAGGAAGAACATTGTCAAATTTATCTGTAAAGGCAAAACAAATGGCTTCTATCTTTGCTCTGCTACACATGATTTGTAGAGAGGATGTGAAAAGCGGCAGGAATTGGGAAGTGGTTTTTATCACTTTTTCTGCTTTACTTTTTGCTCTGGAAAATTGAGGTGCTTCGTACCAAAATATGACTGCTCAAGGACAAGCAAAAGGGTGGCATTGAAGAGAAGAAAGTGAGAATTAAGCCAAGAGGGAAACTAAGTGTAGTAAGAGAGAAGATATACAGCACTTGTTTTGTTCTGTTTTGTTAGAAAATGTTATACTTATGTAGCAAATGGTAATTAAATACATTTTTGCTAGCAGTTTAACACCCCACCTCCCTCCTTTCAATTAAAGCAAATTCTGTTCGAGATTGCTAAAAGTTCTTCCTGTAAAATGACAGAGAATTAGGATAAGCAGCTAACTAAAAAGCCTTGCAGCTTTTTTTTTGCATGCAATTTAACAAAGCAGAAAGGGTCAAAGAGCAATTTTCTGAAACACTTTGCAGGCCAGTGTTAATGAGAGTAAATTGCCGGGGAAGATAAATCAGGTCCTACTGTTATGGGCATATCAGAGGTGGTAACTAGATAAGGCAACACAGAGTTCTTCTGAAGTAATGTTAAAATAATTAAAATCATTTGATTATTTGCATATTAAAGCCCGAATCGTTTTACCTGCCCACAAAGCCGTTGATATCATCGTAGCTGTCATAGATTTCCAAGAAATCAGCCATACAAGCGATGTCATCTTCAACGTCAAACTCTAAAAACTGTAGGTGAATACGCTGTCCGTACTTGACTCTAATATGCCAGTAGCAAATTTGCTCGTTTTCATACTCGTTTGGGTATCCTGGCGACTTAAAAACATGTTTTGAATCTGTGAAGACTCCACCACATTCTTTTCCTAAGAGAAAAATAGAAACATTAGAGTTTAAGTATTCATTCTGGATACGGCCGTGGCTTAAATCTCTGTGTGCTTTTCTCTCTGTGCTTTTCTCTGTGTGCTTTGACCCAGCAGGTCCCTGGAAAATCACGTGGGAAGACCCGGTATGATAGCACTTTGCAGATATTTAAGCACTCAGAATTCACAAGAAACGTAAGTCATTGCTAGCTTTTGGGAGCTGGTATTTTGGAAACCAGAGGCGTGATCCCAAACTCCCTGAATTCAGAGGGAAAGACTTCAGGGAACTTTGGGCCAGAGCAAAGTGTTTTATGTAAAAGGCATTCGGGGTTTCTGGCTGTGTCACACTGTAAGCTTTACAGCTGTGCTTGCAAGTCACCCTGGCACTCAGTTTCATCCTTTCTTCTTCAAAACCCTCTTAAAAGTGCGTCTTCCACAAGAAAACGTATAAAAGGCGAGCGATCACACACATTTCATTGTACTCACAGCTCTTCAATCCCTTTGGAATGTCTCCTTTGGGGTGAAAAATGCTCATCCCGGTTCAATTCAGTGGCCGTTTGAACTGTTCCAGCTCCCTGACAGCAGGACAAACTGATCCTGACTTCAGGATTTGTAGTAGTTGCCCTCGTTCAGAGCTGGGGGAGAGGGAGGTACCTTCTCAGGGTGATTCAGGGCAGGTGAGTGAGGACCCTTAAGCTGGATGGTGTGATTAACCCTCCTAGTTACGTCTTCCTGTATTTTTCAGCTCCTGACCTAGTTTGGATGTTGATTTCAAACAGTTCCACAAGTTCCTCTTGACATCCCCAGCATCCCAGAGAAGAGAACAGGCTCAGGTCAAGCGGAGATTTGTCTTTGCTCCCCCAGGGCTACTTGTCTCCCACCTGCAGAGCAGACAAATCTCCCAGGTTGTTGGGGTTTTTTTTTAGCAGGCTGTCCCTCAAGCCTGAATCCCTTCCCTTCCCGGGGGTGACTCACACTGCTGAGTGTTGGTGGTTCTGGTTTCCCTTTTGTCCTCTGGTGCATCTGGAAAGTAACTACCTCTCAGCCCAAAGGAGAAGGCTGACAAAGGAGAAAGCCGGGCTGACAGCTCCCAGGCAGAAATAAGGAATGCAGTAGTTCTTCCCTCACAGTTCTCTTTGTGCTCTGAACATCTGTGAACGTCCCCCACCCCACAGAGCTATTTGATTAACAACTGCCCAGCTAAAATAAACAAGAAGCTCAGGCCCTCAGAGCACAAACAAAATGTGCACAGCTGTACAGACGTCATGGACAACTCCAATTTTTGGCTCTGCCAGGCAGGGTAGGACACTTGGAGCAGCGGGAGAGCCAAACAGAGCACAAAGTTGAGCTATGCTTTTCTTGGTGCCTACTTTCTCGGTCTTCCCTGATGTAAGAAGTGATGTCAAGATAAAGTGAAACAGCAGCCAGGTCAATATTTCAATCATCTGCTGGGTAGTGAATGGAGGGGAATGGAGAGTTGTCCCATCCCCACCTTGGGTGCTGCATCCAGGCCCTTCAAGACAAGAAAGACATTGAGGAGCTGGAGTGGGTCCAGAGAAGGGCAATGGAGCTGGTGAGGGGTCTGGAGCACAAGTCTTGTGAGGAGAGGCTGAGGGAGCTGGGGGTGTTCAGCCTGGAGAAAAGGAGGCTGAGGGGAGACCTTATTGCTCTCTCCAACTCCCTGAAAGGAGGGTGTAGCCAGGGGGGGTCGGTCTCTTCTCCCAAGAAACACGTGACAGGACAAGAGGAAACGGCCTCAAGTTGCACCAGGGGAGGTTTAGGATGGAGATTGGGAAAAATTTCTTCACCCAAAGGGCTATCAAGCCTTGGCAGAGGCTGCCCAGGGCAGTGGTGGAGTCCCCATCCCTGGAGGTATTTAAAAGCCGGGCAGATGTGGTGCTGAGGGACATGGGTCAGTGGTGGTTTGGTCAGTGTTGGGTTGATGTTTGGACTCGATGATCCCTTGAAAGGTCCCTTCCAACCCAGAAAATTCTATGATTCTATGACAGAACCATGTCTCCAGATCTGCTCTGGGGATCCTCTTTTCTCCATCTAGTCACACAGGCACACACACGGAGCTGCTGGGAGCCGGATCTGACAGGTGTTTCACTCCCATATGACACGCATTTTCAAAAGTTGTTCTACCTCAGCCATAAGGAATGAGGGTTAGCACTAAATTTATTCTGTTTACAGGCAAAATATCTTAGACCCGAAGAGCAAGAGGGTTGTTTTGAAACGCACCGTGAGGGTTGTAGCAGTAGGCGTCCCACCTCTCGCTTCTGTTGAGGCGAATCCCATAATCGACAATGCCCGTCTTCCCAAAGCCACAGTTGGCTCCAGCTTTTACTATGGGATAACCGACCCTTCCCTTTGCCATCCAGCCTGCAGCACACACATGGAAACCTGCAACAGGGGGAAAACGTGACACGGAGGTGGTAAACCAGTCCTAAGCAATAAATTCTGCTTTTTAGTCAAGTAAGTGAATTCTCACTCGAGCTGATCGACGACTGGGGTGTAATTGGCCCAACAGAAATTGAACTACAGGAAAGAACAGTACTTTGAGAGGATACTCTTAAGCACAGACTATAAAATTGCATTGTGTTCTCCACAATATGATTATTGGCGCTTCATTTGAGAACAAAAATCAGATGCAGAGGGACTATATAGTTTCCCAGGCAGTGAACTTTAAGTGTCGCACCAGCACTTGTAATCAAACCATATATTGGATGAGTTATATAAATGTATTCTTTATTTCCCTTTTGAAGTCATAGGAGTTTACTCAATCATATCCCAAGAGTTTGCAGCATTAATCTCTGAGAGCGAATAAAATTCTGCATACAAAAGACGGCTAAGAAAAGAAAGATTTTACTAAAAATACTTTCCATTTAAATACCTGACATACCTCAAGTGTTTCTTGCTAAACAAAAAGATCCTGTTAATGTGCTTTGTGGCTGAGAACTTAACAACTATGGCCAAGGATTGCAATGTTATTCGCTGTCTGATAGAGACCAATTCAGTGTTTTCACGGAGACTGGAACATATTTGCGGCGCCCTTGGACTGTGAGCTCCTCAGAAGAGACAAAAGTACCCTTTTTACATGTGTGCTGGTGCTGAGAGCCAGCTTCTGACTCAACGCTGCAGCCTGCCACTTGCGGGGGATATTTTCCATTGTTTTCCCAACGCTCTGAGTGAATTAGTGATTTCTTATTAGGAGTCAGACAGAAATACAGTAGAGCCCTCGCTCAGCTCCGCTTTTCACTCCCAGCCCGCTGCTCGCTCTCTCTCTCTGAGCAAATATGGCTGGAATTACCATTTATGACAACATCTTGAGTGATGATATGAAAAAGAGCCACGCACATTTACTACAGAAGCTCCCCGGGGAGAAACGCCTTCCCCAGCAGCCCCGAGGTGCTGTACCTGGGGGGGGGTACTGTTGCTTCCCAGTTCAGCCAGACAGCTCGACACTGGGTTTTACTGGTTTGGGGCTGCACGCAGAGCTCAGGGGGATGCAGCAGGCAGTGGGCAGTTGCAGCCCAGAAGGCCAATCCCATCCTGGGCTGCATCAAAAGATGCGTTGCCAGCAGGTCCAGAGAGGTGATTCTGCCACTTTACTCTGCTCTGGTGAGACCTCACCTGGAGTGTTGTGTGCAGGTCTGGAGCCCTCAATATAAGAAGGACATGGACCTGATGGAGAGGGTCCAGAGGAGGGCCACAAGGATGATCAGGGGGATGGAGCACCTCTGCTACAAGGACAGGCTGAGGGAGCTGGGGTTGTTCAGCCTGGAGAAGAGGAGGCTCCAGGGAGACCTAATAGCAGCCTTCCAGTACCTGAGGGGGGGCTACAGGAAGGCTGGGGAGAGCCTGTTTAGAAAGGCCTGCAGTGACAGGACGAGGGGCAATGGCTTCAAGCTGGAGGGGAACAGATTTAGACTGGAGATGAGAAGGGGGTTCTTCACTGTGAGGGTGGTGGAGCACTGGAACAGGTTGCCCAGGGAGGTGGTTGAGGCCCCATCCCTGGAGATATTCAAGGAGAGGCTCGACGAGGCCCTGGGCAACCTGGTCTAGTTGGGGGTGTCCCTGCTGACTGTGGGGGGGTCGGACTAGATGACCTTTGGAGGTCCCTTCCGGCCTGGGCAGTGCAGCAGTGAGTGTGGATGTTATCCCCGACAGCTCCACAGGGAGAAAATCGCATGCAACTTGGACAAAAATCCAGGGAGTTTACAAGTCTCCCAGTCCTAGAGCTCAGGACGTTCACAAAAATACCAGCCTGGCAACATCGTGAATGAGCGGGGTGAAAAGCAAAGAGCTGGGATTTTATTTTTATTTTTTTCCTAACCTATTTTCCGTGCTGCCTCCAGCTGCTGGTACGTGGCCAGGTGTCCTCCCTCGTATTCACAGACGGCTTTCGCTTCTGCGTAGGTGAGCTGGTACTTCCCGGAGCGCGACTCCCTGTGATAGACTCCGGCCGCTCGCTCTGTGGGACCAAAGCAACAAACCATTTCAGTATTTTCCCCCGTCCTGCCCCATTCCTGGGGTGCTCTCAGCCCTTTCTCCAAGACACCTGGACACCTGGTGCTGATGGAGCACCTCTGCTATGATGGAGCACCTCTGCTACAAGGACAGGCTGAAGGAACTGGGGTTGTTCAGCCTGGAGAAGAGGAGGCTCCGGGGTGACCTAATAGCAGCCTTCCAGTACCTGAAGGGAGCCTACAGGAAGGCTGGGGAGAGCCTGTTTAGAAAGGCCTGTAGTGACAGGACGAGGGGAAATGGCTTCAAGCTGGAGGGGAACAGATTTAGATTGGAGATTAGAAGGGGGTTCTTTACTGTGAGGGTAGTGGAGCACTGGAACAGGTTGCCCAGGGAGGTGGTTGAGGCCCCATCCCTGGAGATATTCAAGGAGAGGCTCGACGAGGCCCTGGGCAACCTGGTCTAGTTGGGGGTGTCCCTGCTGACTGCGGGGAGGTCGGACTAGATGACCCCTGCCCCATTCCTGGGGTGCTCTCAGCCCTTTCTCCGAGACACCTGGACTTTGGGCTGCTCCTCCAGGTGAGACGAGAAAGCAGATTCTCAGTTAGTGGTTGGGCCACTTGGAGATTGTCAGGAAAATACGTCCCTCCCAACCCGAAAACATGGTTTTGCAACCCAAAGGTATGTTTTTGTTTGGGAGAGATGTCGAACAACAGAGCTAGTCAGAGCTTGGTGAGGTTTTGAACAACAGAAGAATCAACAAATGCAGGGAAGGAGTCCCCCAGGACGACTCAGAAGGCAGTAGTTATGGGAACCATCAGCTGGTGTCAGCATCACCAGTTCCGCGTATCCTGACTCAGGGGAAGCTCCTTCTGGATCGCAATCACAGCATTCTTTGGGATGTAACTCCCAGTGCCTTCGTAGGATGAATCAGAGCTTTGTTTTGAATCTCCAGAGAGGTTAAATCAGAGCTACTTGGATAGAGGAGAGGCAGAAACCGAAGGGAATAAAAATGTGAAATAAAAATATCTGAGCTTGTGTCGCAAAGGGCAGGACCAGAACAATTGCTGGCTGACATTTTTCCTGCACAAAAAAATTAATACACTTTCTTCATTATTTTTTCCCTTGCTGTTGCAAGTACAATATAAAGCAGCTTTCCAGGGAAACCTAGAAACTGTCAGGACTACTGCGAGTTTTATAATCTTTTCGTGTTTCACTTGTCTGCTGCCATATGTATGGAAATCTGTCTCAGAACCAATCTGCATATTTAAACTCAGTGGCGTTTGTGTTTAGATTTTTCTTTTATTTAGTATAATCTGAGAGAAATGGCTGCCTGTAGCTATCACTAGGCAAAATGACTGGAAAAAAAAAAAGATGCAAAACGGGAGGCATTTTTCACAGTAGTTATTTGCACCATGGGAAAAAAAGAATGTCTTTTCTAGGGACAGACTTAAAGCCAGTAGTTTTGGCTGGGTTAGGATATTTTTTTTTAAAAAACCATGGTCACCACTGGATTGTGGTCAGTGATGGTGAGAACCCTGACTAGTTAGAGCATGACGTTTGCCAATGTGGTTTTTGGACCCGCAGCCACTGGCCCGGCGCCCGGGGAAGTAAATGATCTTGCTGACAACAGGTCTCAGCAGACCGAGAGCTGCTTTCCATAGCATTGCTGGGAATGGGCATGGGATAAGATGTATTCCCTGGAAAAATCTCTCCCAAGAAGCCAGTTCTGTTGCAAAGAAGAATCGCAGCAACCAACAGCCATGGAATAATCACAGAATCTTCTAGGTTGGAAGGGACCTCAAAGATCATCTTGTCCAACCGTCAACCTGACTGACAAAAAACAGACACCCGCACAACAAACAAGGAGCATCACCATCACTAAACCAGACCTCCCAGCACTACATCAACCTGTCTTTTGAACACCTCCAGGGATGGGGCCTCAACCACCTCCCTGGGCAGCCCATTCCAATGCCTGAGAACCCTTTCTGTGAAAAAAATATTCCTAATATCCAGCCTGAACCTCCCCTGGCGCAACTTGAGGCCATTTCCTCTCGTCCTGTCGCCTGTGACTTGAGAGAAGAGACCGACCCCCACCTCTCTACACCCTCCTTTCAGGGAGTTGGAGAGAGCAATAAGGTCTCCCCTCAGCCTCCTCTTCCCCTGACTGAACAACCCCAGCTCCCTCAGCCTCTCCTCATAAGACTTGTGCTCCAGACCCCTCACCATCTTTGTCGCCCTTCTCTGGACCCGCTCCAGCACCTCCATGTCTTTTTTGTGGTAGGGGGCCCAAAACTGGACACAGTACTCAAGGTGGGGCCTCACCAGTGCCCAGTACAGGGGGACAATCACCTCTCGAGCCCTACTTGCCAGACTGTTCCTGATACAGGCCAGGATGCTGGTGGCCTTCTTGGCCACCTGGGCACACTGATGGCTCATGTTCAGCCGACAGTCGACCAACACCCCCAGGTCCTTTTCTGCCAGGCAGCTCTCCAGCCACTATAATGGTATGCTATATTAAAAAAGAAATATCTACTTTAATTAAAAATGTATTTGTAGGAAGTATTATTTTTCATTCACTCAATAGTCTATGATGTCTAACCTGATAAATCCACCCACTGCTTCTTTACAGGATGATCGGATCGGATTCAGTGTGGATGAATTAAAAATCTGAGGCCGACAGAAAACAGCTCCCTGTTTAGTGTCACTGCACACTCAGGGGACAACCTGGAACTCACATGATTGATCACTGCAGCCCAAAGGGAACTGAACTGAAAAGTGAATTAAAAGACAGAGACTGGAGTTGGTGGGATTAGCTGAGCTGCCCCACCTCCAGTGAGTCAAAGAGTGAAGGGCAGCTGAGTTCTGAGGTTTGTCACCTTCACAAAGGTGACAAGTGACAGCCAAAGCAAGAGCAGTCTTAAAGCTCATTGTCAGTGATGTCTGCTGGTAAAAGCTCTGGCATCCACCTTTGCAAGGCCCACGCTGGAACTGCTGCTGGATGTACCTCCAGGGATTTGCCACGGCTCAGGCTCAGCACCCTTGGAGCTGACAGTAAAAACTCACCATTTTTAGTTGTTCTCCTGACTATTTCACCTTATTCCTCAAAAGGTATCTTCCTCCACTTATTGACACTAAAATGTCACTGTGTCACTGTCACACAGGTACGTCGCCAAGCTTTGAGGTTTGATGCTGGCTGGGTGTCAGGGAGTACAGTATTCCCTAACAGCATATCCTAATCAACCCATCAGACCTTTCACAGGCATTTTTTCCCCCTCCCTCTGAGTTACTTTGGGGGATGAGCAGAAAGATAAACTCCATCAGCAAAACCAGACCTAGGGCAAAGCATTGCACCTACTTACTATTAATATACATTGACATATTTATATGTATATACATATATACACAATTCAGAGTCATACATGAACACACACACACACAAATTACTCTTAGTCATTATGGAGGTGATATTATTGGCCATGTAGATAAACTTGCATGAAATTCTGTTTTCACAAGTGCTTGCCTCCCACTCTAAATCCAGAATGTCCATACACCACGGGGCCAGCACTACAGAGCACAACGTGTCCCAGCCTCAGCTCAGCACCTTTTCCAACCAGGGATTCTGTTCTTCATCTGACCTGCCTGAAGTTTCCTCCTCCTCTCACAACAGTGAGAACTTTCGGCAAAGTTCTACCTTTCTTTGCCTGAAAACCAGCATATTGAGACTGTTCTCCCAGGGATTTCTCCACGGATTTCTCACTTCTTTGGTTCTGACTCAGAAGGTTGTGGGTTACCTGGCTGACAGGACATGTTTCCTTCAACTCACATTTCTTAAAATATCTCCTTGAAGCCCAGAGGCAGCAGGATCCTGCAAGGACAGTAGTGATCCTCCACAGGCTGAGGGAGCTGGGGTTGTTCAGCCTGGAGAAGAGAAGGCTCCGGGGAGACCTTATAGTGGCCTTTCAATACCTGAAGGGAGCCTATAGAAGAGCTGGGGAGGGACTCTTTGCCAGGAGGTGTAATGATAGGACAAGGGGAAACGGTTTTAAATTGGAAGAAAAAAGATTCAGATTAGATCTCGGGAAGAAATGTTTTACTCTGAGGGTGGTGAGACCCTGGAACAGGTTGCCCAGGGAAGTTGTGGCTGCCCCATCCCTGGAAGTGTTCAAGACCAGGCTGGATGTGGCCTTGAGCAACCTGGTGTGGTGGGAGGTGTCCCTGCCCAGGGCAGGGGGGTTGGAACTTGATGATCTTTGAGGTCCCTTCCAACCCAAACCATTCTATGATTCTATGATTCTACTCACCGACAGCGGTGGGAGATGGTAAAATGTAGCCCATCTCTTCTACAAACACGGTAAGAACGAGATCTGGCCTAACGCAGTGCCCTGAATATGCATGACACATACACCAAATGCTAAATGACTGGAGATATTTAACTTTCAAGCAGAGGATGGCCACGTAGAATTGCTGGCATGGGCCTCTGAAGGAAAAATGGGGTGGGCACATCCCCTAAACTGCACTGACACATGGTGTGCAAACAGAGATGACATTCTGAACACAAAAAGCGTGGCTGTTCTCCTGGGAAACCTACTTTGTGTTGCTGAGAACTGGCACTCGACTAAACGCTTGAGCATCTTTGGTCAAGACTGCTCCCATCCTCCCCTCAGCTCACAATAAACCTTTGGTTGAAATACCCTCGTGAGAGAAATGAGCAAGAAATAAAGTTCCATTCACACGGGAAGGGCACGGACAGGAAGGCGGCCGTCAGCTGCAGCAGGACTGGACACTCACTAAGGAAACAAACGTTGCTTTGTAACAAGAAAAGAAGTAAAAGACATGAGTATTTCTGGACTGGCATTAATTGAAGATTTTATATTTGTGCTAACAATTCGCTGAGGAAGAAAGGTAAAATGGAAAACGGCCCTTTGTTTTCAGTTTGGCCTTGAGAATGCTTTATCAGAAGAGGAGGAGATGTGCTTGTGAGACCCCACCTGGAGTACTGTGTCCAGCTCTGGAGTCCTCAACACAGAAGGACATGGACCTGTTGGAATGGGTCCAGCCGAAGGCCATGAAGATGATCAGAGGGATGGAGCATCTCCCCTGTGAGGACAGGCTGAGAGAGATGGGGTTGTTCAGCCTGGAGAAGGGAAGGCTCCAGGGAGACCTTACAGCAGCCTTCCAATATCTGAAGGGAGCTACAGGAGAGCTGGGGAGGGACTCTTTGTCAGGAACTGCAGTGACAGGACAAGGGGTAACGGTTTTAAATTGGAAGAGGGGAAATTTAGATTACATATTAGGAAGAAATTCTTTGGTGTGAGGGTGGTGAGAGCCTGGCCCAGGTTGCCCAGATAAGCTGTGGCTGCCCCATCCCTGGAGGGGTTCAAGGCCAGGCTGGATGGGGCTTGGAGCAACCTGGTGTGGTGGGAGGTGTCCCTGCCCAGGGCAGGGGGTTGGAACCGGATGGTCTTTAAGGTCCCTTCCACCCCAAACCATTCTATGATTCTATGATTGTATGAGATGAGCAAAGCTCAGATGTCACTGCGCGTTCCCAGGCTTTATTCAGGGGAGAGGGTCTTGCTTTAACACTTGTGGAGAGACAGTATGAGATTGGGGTTACTTGTTTTACTGTTCAATTGACACTTCTCTTTTTCTTTTTTTTTTTTAAATAAAAAGATGCATAAATTGCATGGCTGTGATTTTGCCAAATTTTTCTTCCTTTATAGATAACGTAGCTGAATTCCATTGGCATTTTGAGCTATTTCAATAATCTTATTGCTGTAGCTACACTAGATGGTGCATTTCTAAAGGAGCTTCAGCAGAGCCCTGGATATAAGAAAGCAAAGTGGTTATTTCAAATTTGACTCTGCCCTTCCAGATTTTGTGTGTGTTTGTTTAGAGCAAGTCATCAGCTTTTACCCCAGGGTTTGTTTTTATTTAATCTGGATATGACAATATTGGTAAATAAAACACCCAGGACCCATTTTGTGGGCTGGTGTGTGCCTGAGTTCTCTTTCCTGGCATCAGGGTGGGCTCATCACAGGGACAGTCCACAGTCTGGACCTCCCAGATGCTCCACTGGGAATGGAGCTTCTACTTTCTAGAAGAGAGCACTGTTCCAGGGAGTGTGACACTGGTTAAACCACAGGCAGGACCTGTGCGTGGCCACGTACCCTTCACTTTGAATCATAGAATCATAGAATTGTCTGGGTTGGAAGGGACCTTTCAGATCATTGAGTCCAATCATCAACCCAACACTGACATACCCACCACTGACCCATGTCCCTCAGCACCACATCTGCCCGGCTTTTAAATACCTCCAGGGATGGGGACTCCACCACTGCCCTGGGCAGCCTCTGCCAAGGCTTCACAACCCTTTGGGAGAAGAAATTTTCCCCAATATCCATCCTAAACTTCCCCTGGTGCAACTTGAGGCCATTTCCTCTTGTCCCATCGCCTGTTCCTTGGGAGAAGAGACCGATCCCCTGGCTACACCCTCCTTTCAGGGAGCTGGAGAGAGCCAGAAGGTCTCCCCTCAGCCTCCTTTTCTCCAGGCTGAACACCCCCAGCTCCCTCAGCCTCTCCTCACAAGACTTGTGCTCCAGACCCCTCACCATCTTTGTTGCCCTTCTTTGGACCCGCTCCAGCCCCTCAATGTCTTTTTTGTCGTGAAGGACACAGCACTCAAGATGGAGCTTCACCTCTCATTCCAGCCAGAAGCACAAGCTTTGTTTGCTTCTCACACAAACCTCTTCTCTCTGTCATCATGTTTTTGGAGCAGCAGCCCCTTGATGTGGTGGTGCATGAAGCTGCCAAGCTGTCCTCCCTCAGAGCTGGCCCCTACCTGAGCACCTTCACCCACCACGGGACGCAGCAGGCGCATTCCACGTTCAGAAAGAAAGAGAAGTCATTAAAAATGTGCAGTCAAATGGAAAGCAACACAGATCACTTCTCCTTCTCATTTATGTTCCTGTTAGTTTACACGGTCCTCTGGGAAGGGACCGGAGCCACGTGGTCGCTGCAGCAGCAGCTATTAGAGCATGGCCCCAACTCCTCGTGAAACATCGAAGCACACCAGAAACGTGCACCAGCTACAGGAGGTCCTTCAAATCCTTAAAGAAATACACCGCATTCTAGCCAGGATAAAGGCATTTGTAAATATTTGTCTACAAAACAGAGCACTCAGTGCATGTTTCTGTTTTGGCATCCTTTATGTGACTACATTCTGAATATGGTTTTCTGTTGCATTGGACAGCTATAAAGACCTATAAAAGAACTCTAAGAGCTATTTAAACCCACTTGAAGTATAAGAAACTATTCACACAGCATTTTCTATAGCCCTTTTGGAATATTCTCTCCACTGCTTAATGAAGTGAACAAACCAACGTCCAAAACGTATACATTTCTGTACTTTCCCAGAAACCTAGGAAATATTATCGCTATTATTTCCAGATCATTTAGTTTCATATGTAGGACCCCAGGCATCTGAAGCATGCTCATGCAGAAAGTAATTCATTCCTTTGGCAAATGTTTCTTTTCATACTCATTTTCCCTCATTAGAAGCAACTACTATTTAATGCTGTTTTCACTTTACCTCATGCCGTAGGAAAATACATTCAGATTAAATATTCCATACCTACTTTTCCCTTCCTTTTTTTTTTCCCTGCACTTCAGAGAAATAGTACAAAACAGTAAGCTCATAAGGACAAAACTTACAGTCACTACTCAGATAAAACGATAGAATAACACAAGGGATTTGCTAGCGTTAGTGCATGGATCAATTTTGTACTGCTAGGTGCTCATCTTTGTTCTGTCAGGCAAACACAGTGACTTTTGCAGCAAAACATTCCTGATTTAATTATTGCTTACCTAACCAGATAGAGTTATGCAGCACTCCGTCCTTGAATCCCCACGCTTGAGCCTTGTCCCACAGCAGGGCAGAAAAGAAAATTAGCGCGATCATCCCTTCCGAACTATTAGGCTGTAAATATTCCCTGTTAAAACACTCAGGGTAACCTCTGCTAGCTGCTGCCTAGATCCTATTGGAACATCTGGTAGCCAGATCTTAAATAGTGCTTTCAGCCGTGAGGTCAGCGAGGCTGCTCCAATTGTGCTCGCCGTAGTATTATTACACAATTAAATGTGATGTCTGCAGTCGTCCATGTGACTCACTTTTGGCTCCCTCGGTTCCCAGCGTGTCCAAGAAACCATTCTACCCCTCACTACTGCAGCACACATGAATGCTTTTCAAGCCAAAGCCTGCTCACTGCCTTCAAATTCCATAAAACAATAAAACTAATAACCAGTCTATCTGCTTGTAGCGTTTCTAGTCACACCATGTACAGGACCGAAGAGAATTGCACATATCAGCTCTCATTCTCATTTAAACATTCTGTTCTTTCATATATAATTCAGATTTAATTTCCCAGTGACCTAATCAATGAAAAAACGTCAGGAGAATATTCTGCACGGGCTATTTGAGTTCGGTTTCCCAACACGGAATCTGTAATTGCAAGTCAAACTCCCAGATCAGCATAAAACTGCAAAGTGTCAAAAACAGATGCTCTTTGTTCTGCAAGGGGGAAATAAAGCTGAAATCTTCCCCTCCAAACCACAGTTTAAAATCTGATTCATAGCGTGACAGCTGTCTGCCCCTCTTCCCTTCTGGCTGAAAGGGAATACTGCAGCTGCTCCTGGTTGGATGAGTGGGAGAGGAGAAAGGGGGAAAGATGAGAGTATGGAAAATGGCCTGGTGCTCCCCACTCCTGGTTGGGAGAGCTGGCTCTCCAGTCCTGATAACATTGGTCACTTCTGAGTCAGGAGCGATAGAAAAAGCTGTGCTCATGGCCACCAAGACAATCAAAGGAAAATAAATGAAAAGGGAAGGGTGGAGGACTCTGTGCCTACTCAAATTTTACACAGATGACTGTTGTAGCAATGAGGAGGATATCCTTCACCACCCCAGTCTTAATATAAAGTGATGAATGCCTCACTACGCTGTACACACAGACACACACACACACACTCCTCCCACCCACATCTTGGGCAAATGCTGAAGGGAGCTGTGGGGAAACGGAGTTGAGAGTGAGCTTTTCCCCTGCAGAAGAGCAGCAAAGCACCTTCCACCAAAGTGCCCATGTCTTGACCTGTCACTCTTCAGCCCTCAGTGAGGAGAGAAAACCCCTTCTTCCAATGAAGCTCACCTATAGGACATTCTATACCCATTCGGTGGGTGTGCAGCAGTAGGTGTACAATCTATACGTGTCTTCTGACCAGCCTGGGACATTCAGGGCTCAGTGGCTTATTGTCCTCTTGCCTGTGGTAGAGAGCTACCACAGAGCGGGGTGCTGGGACCAGGGATAGTGCCCACCAGTTTGTTCACCAGTCTCTGCCACAACGATCGTCCTACCACACGGATCGTCCCACCATGTGTTACAGCTCCTCTGTCACCAAAACAAGAAAGCACTTCAGAGACTTAGAAGCATAGAATCATAGAATTGTCTGGGTTTGAAGGGACCTTTCAGATCATGAAGTCCAACAATCAATGCAACACTGACAAAAACCACCATTGACCCATGTCCCTCAGCACGTCTGCCCAGCTTTGAAATACCTCCAAGGATGGTGACTCCACCACTGCACTGGGCAGCCTCTGCCAAGGCTTGATAACCCTTTGGGTGAAGAATATCCATCCTAAACCTTCCCTAGGGCAACTTGAGGCTGTTTCCTCTTGTCCCATTGCCTGTTCCTTGGGAGAAGAGTTCAACCACCCCCTGGCTACACCCTCCTTTCAGGGAGTTGGAGAGAGCGAGGTCTCCCCTCAGCCTCCTTTTCTCCAGGCTGAACACCCCCAGCTCCCTCAGCCTCTCCTCACAAGACCTGTGCTCCAGACCCCTCACCAGCTCCATTGCCCTTCTCTGGACCCGCTCCAGCCCCTCAATGTCCTTCCTCTTGTCCGAATGATTTGTCTCATTGCATAGAGGTAGGCGCCCTACTCTGTTTTTTCTTTCTAGACACAAGGATTGGTGCTTTATTTGTACTTGGTTTCTACTTTAATGCCCAATAGATGAGAATCCAAGCTTTTTGAATGAGACCTAATTCAACATTATTCTGTGAAAGCCTGTTGGTAGAAGTGTGTTGCTTTGTAAACATCAATATCCCAGCTGTGTATCTGAGGTTACCTGGGGTAGGAGTTGTGAAGATGGCAATATAAACTTTCAGGGAGTGAATGGAGGAGACAGAGCTGGAGTTGTTGGTCTGGAGCATTCATTTCTCATTAGCTGCAGGAGACTGGCACTTAGCCTTTGCTGGTTTGGTGCTCCAAGATATTAATGGTATCTTCTGGGAACCTAGAAACAATAAAGAGGCGTGAGGGAAAGAATGGAAACCAAAGGAAATTGAAAATCCAACAGAAATCTCATTCACTGGTAATCTAAAAAGACAAATTACTGATTCAGGTGAAGAGAATCCTCTTAGACTGAGGCGAAGATTTCTGTTCCTTAAAGAAGTACAGGGTGGATGTCTTTCTCTGCACAGGCCACCTTTTCTCTCTGCCATTCCAGGCAAATTCCTCTGGATGATATTGCAACGTGAGTTGATAGCTTAACCATCTTCTATCAGAGCCAGATGTCTACGCTGCAGGGGATCGTTCTCTTCTGCAGTAGGAGGGTGCCAATCCCACAGGATCACAAAAATGTGTCAGTAGTGACTGACTCATAAAAGCAAGGAGTGGAAACCAACTTGGAGCTGCTTTGTAATAGACCACCATACTGAAATCCCTGAGGAAGACACTCATGCAATAATGAATGAAAAAATTGCATTTTTATTGAAGTTAACTGCTAATGGTGAAAGATCTCCGTTAGATAAAGCAACTTAATAAATAAAGGACATAAAGTAGCAAACAGTTCTATTGGTGCCAGTATCTGACAGCATCTCTTGGTTTATACAAGGTCTAACATTTGAATGAATATATACCTCCCTGGAGGAACAAGGCTACCTTTTAATAAATTCATGGAAATATTATGAAACACAGAATAACTGAGGCTGTAAGGGATCACGAGAGTTCATCCAGTCTTGAAGTCAGGATTCGGATGTCTATTATAATATCCTCTGAATAATCCCTCAAATTAATGATCTTCATCTTTGTGGGAGGGTAACAAAAGCTCTACAGGGTTCAGTATATGTTTTATAGTGAAGAGTAACTGGGTATGGGGAATATTTTGATACCTGAGGAAACACTGGGTTGCATTAACATTAGACACAAGCTCCAGGTTCAGCCTAGACATAAATCTGTGCAATTTTCAGTGTCACTAGAGTAACACCCTCAGTCCCACACATCTGCCTCCCAAGTGAGCTGGAAAGGGAAGTTTTCATCTGCAAATCCCAGCAGAACCTCTCCCCAACAAGAAGATATTCCACAGCTGTACACTGGCACTTCAAGACGTCCATCTGACAGTATTTTCTTACGTTTTCGTCCAAGTTTTCCACATTTAAATATATCCCAGACAAATCTTATATAAATTGTGGAGGGAGAGCGGGGATGGCTTTCCTTAACTCTTTCCATACACACGTATGTTAAGAAAAACTGTTTGAAAAGTTATTCTGTGGTTTTGACTAGTGCTTGAAGTGAACACCTGACTTGGTGGTTCTCAAATTGTGGTGGAAAGCCCACCACGATATAAAACTAATTGCAATGATAGACAGAAAAAAACAATCCAGTAGCTTAATGGATGAACTGCTGAGGATAAAGGAATTTAAAGAAAAATAACAGTAGTGTATGTGGATCACAAATCTCTTTTGCATTCATTTAAATATTAAGCACATAAACTTTTCACTTTTCTCTTTTTAAATGAATGAAAATAGTGAAAATATTTCTAGCTTTTGGATTCTAAGATTCATATATTACTATCGGTGATAAGGAATATATTACAATTTTCTTATTTATAGCTTTGAGAATGACACCAAAAATTATGTATTTAAATGGAAATGCACACAGTGAAGAGCCTTGCATTGGGAGGGTTTTTTTTGCAAGAAACTGTAATCTCATTCAGAAAAAATTACTTGGTGGAAAGTGTAGGCAAAGGAGGTGCAGAGAAAAAGATAGCAAAACAAAGCTAAGCTTTTCTTATGAGAAAAAAATAAAATAGCTGATGTGAAAGGGGGAATATGACTACACTGACTGAATTTACTGCAGGGGAAACCTGAGAATGGACAAGCTATTTAACCTAAAGAAAGGAAAAAGTTAGCAACATCATCCCAGCCCATGCCATCCCATGCCAGCCCATCCCATGCCATATAGAGTTAAATTTAGGCTGAAAAGCAGAAGTCTGTTTCAAACCACAAGGCCAGAGAAGCTTCAGAACAGCCAAACAAGCAGAACACCTAACTTATTTTGAGATGATGTTTGAGCATGAGTGTGGATGTGATGTTCTTTGAAGGCCACTCCCAGTGCTACCTTATTTTTATCTCATTTCAAATAAATTTTATCTTGCTTTAAACTTTTTTTTTTTTTTTAATGAACTGAAGCTGTCAAGATACAAGCTGAAGGATTGTCCCACACTCCAGAACCTCTGCAGAGACCTTACAAACCATCAGATCCCACCCATCTGCCACGTGGCAGAAATAATACCTGAATTATTCCTGGCAGATACTTGCGTAGCCCATTCTTACAGACCCACAGCGGTAGCAATTCCACAGCCTCCTGGTGCTTAACTCTTCCTAACATTTTAAATACCATCTTTAACCAAAACATCTTGTATTAACTAAAACCCTTCTTGCTGAATTTTTAGCCTATTTCTTCTTTTTGCTTCAGCAGACTTAAAGTCACGGATTCTTTACCACCTCTTTGTAGCCGGAAAGTTGTACTGCAACTGTTACTCTATCTTGCTTCAGGACTCTCCTGAAAAATAAACAGGCTGTTCTTCTCATCTTTTCTGTAGGTCATATTTTCTAGACTCTTGGTCATTCTTGTTCCTCTCCCCTGTACTCCTTCCAGGTGGCCTGCATCCTTCTTGAAGTGTCAGGCCAGAAGTCTTCCAACAAAA